GGAAGTGTCGAGACATCGTCTTTAGCAAGTAAACTGATTTCGACTAGGGAGAGCACATGAAGGTGAGGAGGACTGTCAGTCATCATTACTTTTGTGATGGAAATAAAGCGTGGCTGACGTGTGGCTACCAACATCGTAAAGTGAGTAGAAGATTGCGTGTCGTGACGCCTGTCAGGAATGCTTAACGTGACTGTTGGTATGGTGGTAAAGAGACGCCCACGTTTGTTAATGTAGGGTAGTGAGGTGAGAAGGAGGTCGGTTTGCCTGACCTACACTATTTTTGGGTATGTTACAACAATACATGATGCCTTTTAGCTTGAATGTTGCAGAAGTTGTAATGAGAAGTAGATTTTGCAATCGGTAGTTGGTTTGCTGCAAAATAACTCCACTCACTACCAACTCCATACTTGCATGGCACCTCTTAAATCTCATAGGACTATACACTATGCATGCGTGCGTAGGATAGACGGTTGACGGGAGGCAAAGCATTAATTACAGCTGAGATCTATCCGTGGACATGACACTACACCATTGTGTCACGATACGACAAGACACGATACAACAGGACACGAAGCGACTTGATAATGCCCAAAAATAACTTCCATGAGATCAAACAGCAGTCAGTTTGGCAAACTTCCTATTCTTGTTCTTCTAGGCTTCATGTGCCTGTGAATTATCAGATCACATTGCATTTTTGGACGAGATGAGATAAGATGGAAGGGTAGGGAATTTCGCCCCAGCTCACCATAACTCATCTTTATCTTCATCCGTCGATGACAAATCGGTAAATTGCAAGTAGAGAAGTGCTTAACATTCATATGGCGTCATGCGAAAGGAATAAACAATTGCGAAATTACATAAACGTTGCAATCACAGCAATGTTTTGCCTCGTTGGAATAGGAGAAGTGTTGCTCCACTCCTGCAACCTGCCCTATTGGACACTGACTGCTCTGTGGAGATTTATATTAAAGCCACTTATTGTCTCGCATTTCCAATCGCGTAATCAGATGTGATTCGGGTGATGCTTAACAATTTTTCTTCTCTACGGTGAATACAGTGACTTTCACACTTTTCACAATGGTCTGTTTAGTTCTGACACAACGAGAGCACGGAAATGTGGAGGTTCACTACAAAAGGTTCATACGAAGGCAAAATTTCATAGGGGAGTTAACATCAAAGATTCGATATCTACTGGGGGAGTAACTGAAAAAGTGAGTGAATAGCATTATTGCTGTTAAGCAATATTTGTTTAAATGTTTACATAACCACTGGGGTCTTTTAATCCTCACAAATTGTACTACCATCTTGACGACATTATTTCTCGCCCATGGCTAAAATTTCCCAGCCTTTTTACTTGCTAATAAAAGCGGTTGTCCAGCACTGATGCACCTTGTGGCGCCTGCATGGATGACTCGGTGTGCATTAAGAGGAGATGAGGCCTTTAAGGAATGAAACCGCTCATTAAGCACTCCACAAGTGGCACAGGAAATGCTTCTATTATGGAATATTGCTTATCTTTCCCATATACGTCTCATTAGGTGGTTTTATAAGTGGACGATGTGACACACAAGCTCGACTGCAGTGCTTGGTGCATTGCTCTACCTTAATTCAGAAGTCACGGCGTAGTGTTGGAAAACCAATGTATCTTTTTCTAGGGCTGACTTTAAACTGTGACAAGAACATAGAAGAATAATCGCAGGCATATGACCGCAAATGGCACTCAGAACTGTGCAGCAGCTCAGCATGGCAAGATTATGGTTGATCGCGCGATTCACGGCTAGACTCCCTTGAGTCGGCCTCTAGAGTTGTTATGTGGTTCTGCTCGCGGCGCCTACATCACTGGCACTGGTTACTTGTAGAATCACGTACCTTTTAGCCTTTTTAACCGTAGGCACATGGCGGTACAAACTTCGACTACAGCGTATACTACCATGTGCCCTTCAGCTAAAACGGCGACGGACATTCACTGCACAGGGATTACCGACAGATTTTACTGGGACACGTCGAGTAATGCTAAGCAGGTTGATTAAACGAGCTTCGTTTCTAGACAAAGGGCGTTGCGAAAAGGCGACTCGAGTGCCAAACCCACCTACTACAAATCGTAGCGGATAGAAAAGTCGACGTACCCCCACTGGAGAAAGAGGTCATAACTCCTAACGAAAAAGTCACTCAACCAAAGCTCACCCCCTTGAATATACGGGTGCCAACATCCAATACTGTTGATATCACATCGAGGCTGCCCGATGGGTCGCCTTGGCTGCGGATATGCAGAGACTGCATGCAGGTTGTGCTGCTGCTATCTCCTCATCGAACCGTGGGAATGCACCCAAACGGTGGACGTGCCGGTGTGATCACCACAAAGGCCATCGCCAAAGCCGTAAATATCACCCCCGTGCCAGCACAACGTTTATTGCTCCACCCTATCGATGCGATCACACGAACTGAAAGCGTCAAGAACGGCGCCAGGTGTGACGGGGACAGAGGATTGTGTCAACTGTGTACTATTACTGACACGTTTGGCCGCTCGGTGAAAATAGTCTTCTGGTCCCCGACAAAACATAAAAATCGCAGAGACAACGGCTACGCTGTAAAGCAACCAGGTAACGATAATATGAAGCAATTTCTTGATAGGTTCACTAGTACATCAAAGCCTGTCTGTTTCGTCGGTCAATTAGATCAGATTGATTTGCCTAAAGATCGCCGACTTTGACAAAAGTTAACCAAGGTGATTAAATAAGGATGCACAAAAGACACACGCAGAAGTGGTGGAGAGACGCTCTAATTACAGTGGATATTGTTGTCGGTGAAGGAAAATAGGGCAGAAGGGAAAGGAAAGGGGCGGGACACAAACATTAGCATCGTCAACGTTACTGTCTTCACGGTCGACTGTAATTAGGAGAGAAGGAGACGGAGGGAGAGAATTTGGCTGCTAAAAGTGGAGGGAGACAATGAAGACAGAAAATGAGGCGCATGGGAGGCAAGAGCAATACAATGAGAGGGAAAAAGAGGATAAGTGACGATGTCGGCCCTTGATTTGTAGATTGGATGGATTGATAGATCGGGGGAGGGAGTGAAAATTGGTGAGGACCTCTCACACCTGCCCATAGGAGCTCTGTAGACGAAGGTACTGAAAAAGAAACGTCACTTGAACCAATCATAATTTACCATACTCTGAGCAGGTATATAATTGGCTAGGTAACGCTCAATCGCTAAGTGGAACTAAAAAAAGTGGAGACTAATGGAGAAGAGAATGCATAAACAATAAAAAAGTGAATTGTTTGATTCTTTAAAGAACCAACCTGGATGACGAGGGAGGGTCCAGCGGACACTACCTCAACGGGGATCTTTGACAATGGGCAGTTCTCAATAGACATGATTTGCAGAGAGCAGCACATTGCCAACTCCGATGGCAGGTCGTGAAGATTGAAGTTATCGTTCAGGTATAGCGTCTCCAAGCTCTTCAATTTCCCTGCAATGCAAAGTCAAAAGTACTATGGTTGTAGTCTACTTGAACCCTTAGTAAGTGGAGGCGACTGTGTGCAGTACCGCGTAAATTAGTCTGATTTCATGACGGATTATTTAAATTTACGTCCTGACCGAAAGGCATGATGGACGTCCTTCCCATGATATTTTTCGAAGACGCGCCTAGTGGAAGCAACAGTCACCCTAGATGTACACTCTGTAGAAAAACGCCCACCATTCAGCAATACTGCCCCAAACAAACCCCTTCCCGACGCGGTTCACCCCACAGAGGATGCTACCTTCAAGAATCTACACCATGTAAAACCACTAATAAAGCAGTAATTTCTGTACCATCTGATTTCACTTTACTACCTTTCAACCTATGGGAAGACCTGCATAGTTAATGTAGAACAACTACGCGGAATGCCAGTGACCACACTCATAGAGAGGAGTGAATACTGCCTCACCTAATCTCTTCTATTCCTATGTCCGTAACCTATCAGCCCACATGCACATTTTTCTGCAATTATCTTCGGGATAACTCAAGGCACTGCAGACCGACAAGGAATGTTAAGTGCCAATAATTCGTGGATTTATCAATTTGCATTTCGATTACTCTTCAATGGAACTATTTCCTGTATTGGCAGCAGGGAAAGAAAAATTCAAAACCTATTTCATTAGTTACTGTTAGCTAAAATCCTCGCCCCACGAAGAATTGGAAAGAAGGGAGCAGGAAGGAGAGACTACAATGGTACACTGGAGAAACACAAGAGTTTACCGATAGGCCAACAAATTATTTGCCGATTTACCACTTCCATCAACATTACTAACACCACTGCACCAATTTTCCTCAAACAAGATACAATGAATGAGGAAGATGTGCTTTCTTCTACTAAAAACATTTTGGGCCGACAAAACTAAGAATAACTGCCACCGAAGGGAAGACTTAACTTGGCTGATAAATGTTGCTTAGTTTTACTAATTCTGTTCAGTCGCAATGCCTCGACAAAACAAAAAACTAAAATTCCTACCTATTGCAGGTGTAAGACTTTGTAGGTCATTTTCACCAATAGTTAAGTAGGTGAGATTTTGGAGATTTCTGTAGAATAAAAAAAAACAATTGATGGAGAGAATGGAGAACTCTGGAGAGATGATAGGAGAAGAACCCACCCAATGGAGGAGGGAAGCACTGTGAGCCTATTTGATTGCATTATGAGACGCTGCAATTCCGTCAAGTTGCCTGCAAAGCAACAGACAAAGGAGAAAACGGGTTACCTTCGCATTAGTTTCACTCTTCATCACGAGATTAGAAAACAGGAGATGGATCAATTACCTCAAGTTTAAGATACGCAAGTACAGACCGCATAACAATTAATCACGTGAAGGTACATCGTACCTCAAAAAGTGCAGCGGCTTGGCAAAAATATCATGTAATTTATCGCTATTTGACTATGGATAATGCAGTCGGCATAATGGAATGATAAAAGAAGCATTCCACGTAGAGTTGAGTTTCAGCGCATCCACCATTTATCAGACTCCACCTCTCAGCGCAGCACTTTTTAAATCGGATAAAAACTACATTGAACTTACCCCAAAAGACTATGGAAGAATCATCTTGGGTAATTTAATTGCCTCCCCCACCCTATCAACCAGCTAGTTTTCAGTTGGAGCGACATACCAACTGCACAACACAATAAATTAACCAACATCACCAAGGCTTTAAATAGCATATTTAGAGAACCAATACCCCAAGCGCAGGCATTTAAAAAAAGACAATATGAATTTGGTCGATACCTTACAATTTCTGACCCTTTTTATTAGCTGGTATGGTTGATGGAAAGGTCAGAGCCTAGTCATTGATCGTAAAACGAATTTTAAAGGTTCTTCCCAAAATAAATTACACTTCCCTAAGCTACTTTTGCGACAACAAATGCGATAAAATAGAAATATTACTACCAGCTAGCGTGTTGTTAAGTATCGAAATTACCCTTCCTTTTAGAAATTTTTCAAAAAGGTTACATTTTAACAAATCACGACCCCAATTAACAAGTAATTCAGCAATACGCATCGTCACCAAAAGCATAAGCTAGTTTATTTCTGTTAGAAAGAGTAAAATACGAAATTGAAAGTTCCAAAAATCAAGAATTTAGGTGGAGTAAACTTATAAGAATAATTATGCGTGTTCTCTGAGAATAAACAATTTATCTACTTACCAATTTCAGTAGGCAAACAGTCGAGGCGATTCCCCTCCAAATCGAGAATCCTGAGTTTACGCAATTCCTGAATGGAAGGAGGTATCCGCTGCAAAGAGGACACGTATACAGTCGGCCAGAAGTACAAAAAACCGACGTGACTAACGATTGGGTGGTGGATAAAAACACACCTTTAAGAGGTTATTGCTGAGAATGAGCACCTCCAAATTCAGCAGATGATCAATGTCATCGGGCAACTTTGTTAGCTGATTAGTACCCAGATTGAGTTCCACCAGACTCGTCCAAGTCTTAACGTCTACAAAACAACGCATGCTTTTGTGTCACTTTTTTCCAAACACTCGATAACAGATAGAGAAAATGAACCAAATGCCTATCAATATGGCGACTCCTGATTAACAAAGTACCCAAGACAAGGGTGAGACCTTCGCGATTTCACGGTGTGACATACGGAATGCTGTGATTACTATGCAATCAATTCGTGGAATGACGGAGCGGAGTGACGTCAAAAACCTTCGAATAAACAGAATTAAGATGACGTGGATATTCCAGGAGACCATCCAATACAACCATCACGTTTAAGGAGTGGTTACCCGAAGTCATAAATGGACTGCGCGGTACTGATTATGCCATCCGTTTAACTGTTCCATAATGTCAACAAATATGCATAGAACTCACGATAGGTGAAAATTTAAGCACCATATTTGTAGCAGTACAGTGGAATATGCTTGAAATCATTCAACACGGCATTGAAGCCTTCATACAATGATCAGAAACCATCGCAGTTGGGAATGGGAGCGTAACTAATGATATGGAGAGGTGTGGAAACAACTTCAGGTAGTTCTCCATCAGTCACCACGCTGGTTTAAGAACGCTGTCTCGTTCTATTGTCTAGTTTTGTGGCTTTTCAACCCTTTAGCAATACTGGAACATGCATCAACACAGGTACTAGTCGCCCTGTGCGCCAATACTCAAAATTGTTGCAGTCATACACCTCTTAACGCCCAAGAGGCATCACCTGAAATCACTAGGCCACATCCATCAATGGCTGCAGATAGACGTACCAGGTGGCAGAGCGGCCAGTTGATTGTTCTTCATGTTCAACTTGGCGAGATTCGACGCCCGAGAAAAGATGCCAAAAGGAATCTTGGTAATCTGATTGTGATCCATGTTGATTTCCTGTAAAGACAGACAAACGGATAATCCATACATCGTATAAAAATGCGACCATAATCGGCCAAACTGCCCATGTCATTTACTCCGGACCAACAGGGCTTTCACAAGCAACCAACGCGATTTCCGACACCCTGGTTGGCCAGTGCAGTAGGATTTTCACCTAGCCCCCACGGTGGAAGTATGAAGGCCTACTCCAACCCACCTTAAGTATCAATTTCCCAGTCCCTCTCTTGGCAATTAACAAATTACTCCCAAACCTGCTCCATGACGATTTTAGAGGCAACTCTGACGCTGCGACCCGTTCAATGGAGATGAAAACGCCTGACGCATTTTCCCTCTGATATCAACAACAGAACATAGAAGGGAGCTTATGCCAAAATGGACTATTTGATTACTAGGCGAAAATGCCAAGATATGAAAAGGCCTTCAGTGAAGGCCGTGAAAAACACTTTAACTTGGGCGACTATTCCCCCAGCCGTAGGGTCTGCGTCACCTTCAGAAATAAACCAAATTACACAGTGGAAAAGATGGGTGATATCTGAGGGTTTACTACTGCAGCGTATTTAACTAGATATTTTTAATTCTAGACAACACCTAATGCAAAAAAAGTTAGTAGCAAGCGAAACACATTCCAACCTCAAGAATAATGCTTCCCAAATTAACCTAATGTTATTTACAAATGGAGGAAGTGACATATGGACCCATCAAAATTCACAAGGAGCATTACTAGCATGCGAAGTCTATTTTTCCTTACTAAAGGAAATAGTCGGACCACAGTTAATTACTACCCATCCAGACCTTCTAATTTGCAGGGAAAAATGGAAAAATTAATGTTACGAAATGATGAGAGGGATATTTAAAACAAAGCGGGAGTTGTGCATTGGTAAGATACTTATTTAAGGTGATCTTTGTAAAACAACCTCCATAGCAAGAGGGTGAGGGCGAGGGGCGCCTACACTAGCGCGGCTCACACTTTAAAAGTAATTTTGCGAATGTATGAATCTAATCGAAAATGACGAATTCGAGGTCCCAGTCATTCCAGTTGAAATTTTGGCTACATTATTGCAATAACTTCAATCATACTGGAAGTTAGAAAAAAAACGACTGAAACTACAACTCTGGAATGTGGGTTGAATTGATGGCGTCAAAGGTAGAAGGAGAACATCAACCACCTACGATTTTTTACCTGTACTCACGAAAAACCATCGTGAGAAACTGGCAGTTTACAAATGGTAGGTTGAAATGGCACTATCTTGACGGTGTTACGAATTAGACTGCATAAAGTTTGACAGTAATGACGAACGCACCTGGACAGTGATGAACTGTTGCGGTCCACCAGAAGGAAAGACAGTGAAGCAATTTCGGGAAAGCGAGAGACTGGTGAGGTTCTTCAAATTCGCCAGAAGGCCCTCCTGTGGAAAAAAGGGGAGATGGTTGAAAAAAGCACGCAGAAATATAAAAACACATCAGCCAAGTTCATTTAAGAAGCCACAAAAGCCATAGGGTTAGGAGCTAAGATACTGTACGCCGCATGGTAGCAACTCACTTGGGCCTAACCTCGACACACTATAAGACAGAAAAGTAGAGACCGATAGGCTCTACCTAAGACAGGTGAAGACGAATGCCACTCATCCACAGTCACAGACAGACCTAAAGAGTCCACAAAAGGCGCAAAAAACATCCACGAATTCCGTAGTCAATCTTTTAATCGACCATAGATGGCTACCAAATCCTCACTTTTTCAATACCAAGCTTGAGGGCCTTTTTCTCTCGCGTACAATAGAGATGCATAGTTTTTATGAAAAACTGCAATCACTATCTTCAGATACATATTTAAAATGACTTTTAATTCAACTGACAGCGCGCAAAACTCTGCAATGAGTCGAAACACATATTCGAATACGCGTTGCTAGGAGAAACTGATTGGTTCAATTCAGTGATTCCAATCTTGGATAGCAAGGCTTTGATGTTTACCTCCAATCACTCTTCTAATTCGACCTCCAATATGATAGAATGAGGGCGCATTCGCAATCCACAAGCTAGCAGTCAACAGTTCCTTCGAAACACCACTTTCATATTAGTACACCTTGTAGTTTTCGAGAATCATCTTGAACGCAACACCGGGATGTATCTGACACTGTCCACGCCCTGCCCAAGGACATGATCCTTCAGCTAGCGCTTTAAATAGGACCTTAATCAGACTGGGTGACCCAAGCTGCCATGCAAGGCGGAGCGTAAAAAGATATCTACCATAAATGGCTGAAATCAGGAATACATGTCAAGGGGGGAGCAAGAATTCAGTAAACTATCTGATAAAGGAATCTAATCTCTAACACAGCGGCATAGTCCATAATCAAAGAAGACCATAGTTAAATAGTTTTTACAGTGCTGATAGTAAAAGCGAGGAACTTTGGACAAAACCCGAAAGCCTAAGACATCTTTCTGCCATAAAACTTGATAATAACCTACAGAGACATGTAGGTAGGGGAATCAAAAGAACCTGTGTAAACAGGAACTACATTTCCTCATTTGCTCACTTTTCAGCTTTACACCAATGTTGCAAAGCAAATGGCATCGCACAGTCATAAATTATACCCTCGGAATAAATTTAGCAGATACCGTAGGCAAACGCCCAATTCAGAAGTGGTCATAGTGTACTAGGAATACTATGGAGGGGTAATCAACGGAAAACATTTGCATTGATTCAGCATCTACACCAATGGTTAATGGTAAAGGCCGAGCCCCCTCAAGAATCACAGGCTTTGTAACGCCTTCAAAGATAACTCGGGAAGGCATGAAAGGAGAAAAACGCAAAATATTGCTAATGTCTGATACGATTTTTTGCCTAAATTCATGAAGCAGTATCGGACATAACCCAACAAGGTAAAGAAGCCAACTGTCGAACATTATTTTGGCAGGAATATCAATAAGTAAACTGACAAGCTGAGGACAAAGTGACCCCTCCACAAAGTACTCAGGTGACAACAGAAAGCCACTTTTATTGCTCTAGTGCTGGCAAGGAAACTGAAGGTAACCTGAGGATGAGTAGCTATAGAAGGATTTCCGCAAAATCTATAAACGCAAGCCAGTGCACGGGCCACATATTTCTCCAGTTTAAACCTATAGGAAGGGAGAACTTACAGGAAGTTGACAAATGTTATTGTTCTCGATATTCAGCTCGGAGAGACGGGAGCATCTGGCCAGGGATGCGGGAAGGGCTTCCAAATGATTGTATCTATGAGGAAAGACGAGGGTATTAGACCAAAGGAATATTGACTGCATAACACTACGTGGATTTACTTATCTCTCCCCTAATTTGACTAAACAGTAGTGTAGAACCGTGCTTTAATATAGCCTTCAAAAGGTTACCGAAAGCTATTCAAGAGCTACATTTAGATAGAAGTTTACTAACAAAATTTAAAGCACTGAACCAATGCTACAGCTGGACTGTCCGTTCGGTCCCTCTTCCACTCGATTTGTAAACAAAATTACTCGAGTAAAACGTCGTTCAAACGGATGTCGTTTTGAAATTGACACCTTTTAGGAAAATCAAAAGATATAGACAAAGGGAGAACTTGACATTAGCCAAATCATCAACCGACAACCGCCTTTTATTACTTTTAGCGTCATTTAAAAAAAAATAAAGCCTTCACTTTAATATATAATCAGACTTCTTAGCCTATCATCAATGCAGCACTTTTTTACATTTATCAAACAATACTCTGTGAGAATCACTTGTTTTTTTTTTCACTCAGTCTGATACTTTTCTCAAAGCACACAAAAGTAAAGAAGTACGGCACCTACTTGATACCGAGTCGTTCGAGGAGGGCCAATTCACCGATCGATTCAGGCAAGGAGGTTAGTTCATTGTTCTGCAGACTGATCTCCGTAAGATTTCTGCATTGACCAATTTCTACAAGACGAGAAGAAACATAAGTAAGGCCGCCTGGTGAAGAAGCGACCAATGAGGGATGGCTTATAAAGTACACTAATGGGAAGCAACATTTGCAGAAGTAGGGAGGATATTTTCATCAATGAAGTGGCCGAGTCCTTTTATGAGTTTGCATAGAAGCTAAATAAAATCACAGTAAGCCAAAAAATCGCCCAACATTGAATCTGTACAGTTAAGGTTTTATGCTTTAAAAAGAAGGCGGCTTCTGAAGACGTTCTACTTTCACAAGAGGAAGAACTCACCCTCAGGAAGATGTTCCAACTGATTTTTTGAGACGTCAAGAGTAGTGAGTTGTTTCAACTCGCAGATGCCTGGGATTGAGGGCAAATTTCGGATCTTGTTCTCTCGAAGGCTCAACACTTGTAGCTTCTGTGGGGGAAAGGATAAAGAAATTCAATGATCTGGTTCTGCTTTAGATCTCACAACTTATCGTCACTTCAAGCAAACGAAAATGATTGTTTAGCCGAGAAACTCGTAGATGAAGTAGAAAACCACACATCGAACCAGACTTCGCTACTTTGATTTCTGCCCCTAATATTGGGAGCCGATGGATGTTTCACATATTTTCACCTGCACACACACAGAAACAAGGCTTTAGACTTGAACGAAAATCCATTTTACTAAAAAAATAAGCGCACTTGGGTCGCTGGAAGGCAAACAAGGAATAGAGGCTTAAGAACTGGTATCTCGATGACATTAATGATGTGAGGTGGGTAGTTGGGAGAAAAACCAGCGTAACTAAGCCTCAAAAAACAGTTATCGAACTACCTACAACCAAAACGTTCATTAATTTCTCCAAGTGAAATTGAAGTAGCAACAGTCACTACAAATGCAGTGTTAGCTCAGTTTGTCTGTAAGACATCAGATTCCCTGAAAATATCTGCACTCTAATGGAGAGTTTCATTAAGGAGCTCAGTAATGCTTACAGTGTTGAGTTTATTGACTTTGTGTACGGACTTCTAAGCCAAAGATAACCCAGCAAAGGTGACAAGGGTCTCGGTAGTCAATCATAGGGTAGATCAAGTAGGAGTAGGTTTGCAAATTCAGAGTCAAACTGCACGCACTCTCAATGATTACTGACACCAAATGCTACAAATCTGATATCATAATAGTTCGTTTGATTTCCCGGGTATCTTTTCCGAGGCTGAGATGAAACATCCAATCTCAGTAAATCTAATCTTTAATAAAGGTGGCATCGAACACTTCGAATTCAGCAGTTCCTATTATGGGCAGAGAACGTACCGTCAGACGCCCAATGTCGCGGTCGACCACCCGGATGCGGTTGCAGCGAAGCAGGAGCAATACCAGGTTGGGTAGACGGTAGATAACGGGAGGGATCTCACAGAGCTTATTGTGTCGCACGTCGAGAATGCTCAGGTGGGTGCACTCCGCCAGGCTCTCGGGCAGCGAGGTCAATGAATTCTCCTGCACCATCAGTTTTGTCAACTGCGTTAGCGTGCCGATCTCATCTATTAAAGATCAGGGAAGAGTAGGAGTTACCGTTGGCCAATCATTAAATGAGGCTTCAGAAGGAGCAACATCACCGTTTAGGCCGGGTTTATACTACAGGCGCTTCGCATCACATCTGCCCTAAGTTCACAATCGCAAATCGTGATTTGTGATTACTTATCTGAAGGAGAGTATTTCAATTACACATGTCCTGATTGATTACGTCATTGGGCGCGAGAGGGGGAGATTGTAAGTCCGAGCGACCACAACAAAAGGAAAAGATACACCCATCCTCGTTTGGTTTACATTTTTTGCACCTTTCAATGAGAGCTATGCATTTTGTGCCGGGAAACATTTGTTGGAGAGAAAAAGTAGTACTGTCGACTGTATTGGAAACAGACTTCTTAAAAGTCCTCGGGCGTTAAACAATAGAAATCATCCAAATGAAGGGAACAGACTACCACTACATTCGAAAAATATACGTTCCGCCTATCGGGAAGTTAGAATTGAACGGCAGCACGATCCCATGCCTTCGTTATTTTTAGGATAAGCCGCTAAATACAAAAACCAAAATTCGCAGCAGGAAGGATGCTCTTGTTTCACTACACATTACTGCTGAAAAAAATTAAGAGATCAGATTTCGAAAGAGAGGCCACCATAAATAAATCATGAGAATCAAAGAGACGCCATCAGAGAACCCAAAAAGAGAGCTTTATCTGCCTATACCCTGTTTACGATAACTGTAAATTCAGGAGTAGTGTCCCTGATTAAAAAATTGACAGAACACGAACACTCGTCTACGAAGTTTAAAGCTATAAAGCTACCAGCTTATAGTCCAGATTTACTGTGGTTAGTAATCAAAAAAGTTCAAAATTAATGAGTCAAGGAAACCTTCAGCAGTTCACATATAAAACTTCAAGGGGAGTAAAATCCACCCACAAGCATTAACGAATAACGGTGAGCTTGAAAAACCGTCTGTTTGTTGACCTTCACTCCTTTCACTGACATTATGGTAAGGATCCATGCACCTTGAATTGTTTGCGGACCGACTGACTGGCTTGTAGTGAAAAATGACACTTTATTTCCAAGACGAACAAAGACAATAATGCTCATCTCCAACTCAACGACTCGTTGCTCATCCTACACCTCCAAGGCAGCGTTTAAAGCGCAGAAGTCTGTGAATCCTGCGTACGTGCGTGAGGCAGACTGTAGACGGAAGGAAAAGCATTACCTGCAGCACAACACGAAACAGTTTGATGATGCCCGAGAATAACCACTTTGACAATAACCGGGACATGTAAATAAGTCAACTTGAAAAGCGTTCCATTCCTGTACTTCCAGGACAACAGACAAAGCAAGAATTCAGGTCGGAAATCGTCAAAATGAAATCGCCCACCCATAAAATCGCATATCGCATTTTAGGACAAGATGCAATGGGATAGGAGGGAGGAAGATTCTGCCTCACCTCAACTCATCGCCATCCTTCTGTCCTCTTATGATATTCCTTCAAGCTACAAGTGAAGATTATTATCTGTTTAGCATTAATGCTAGCCATTCACATAATTACTTACGAAATAGGATAGATGGTTTTATGACAAAATTTGTCATAAAAGAGGAAATTACAAGCTGAAGTAGTTTTGGTGATTGTTCCCAATTCGCTTGATGCCCAAACTAAGTCAATTAACTTGCACGCAGTATTTGCAAAGTTGGAGAGAATATATTTCTTTCTACATGGAAGTCGAAAACAGACTGCAGCACACAGACAGACTTACGCGCTAGAGACGTCACACCATCCACCATTCACTCCATCGATAGACTGCTACTGACACAAATATTTCACCAGCATCCTCACATACTCGAAGGATTAAGTGCATACCGATGTATTGAAATTAAGCAAAAGAGCGTACTGATGATCAAGAAGCTAAGCGCCAACACCACAAAAAAGTCTATTTCTCAGTTAACATCAAGCCCAAGTAATTAAATGTAATCAGCGGCAGGTGTCCAACCTGCAGTAATTTCATCTTCAAGTTAAAGTATAGCAGCTTTGGACTGAAAGGAAGTCAGATAAGTCTGTGCGCCGAGAGCCTCAAGATGTACTCAAAGGTAGGCAGTAGATTATTCTTAAAAATGAAAACTTAGATCATCACAGATTCTTATAGGTGGTTTGAATTTCAGAAACTGAAGACATGTCGCATTTCTCTGCGGGACACATCAAAGAATCTGGAAGTTAAAAATCTTCAGTACCATGAAAGCTCTTATTTGCCCCCAAAAAGCGTATGGAAGGGAGGTGCTAGGAAGCAGCCACCATACACCAGTCCGTGTGGAGAGAGCGGGTGGGAGTGAATTTGAAGTGGGGACGAGTAACTTACTGGGAAGACTGACGAGTTTGTTGGTGTACAGAAAGAGTTCGCAGAGGTGGGCACCGAGGTCACGAATGCTAGTGGGCAGGGCGTGGAGTTGACTGTTAGAGAGGTCCAGATACACCTTTCCTTCGTCCCGGCACCGGCTTATTTCCTTTGCACAGTCCTGCGTAAACGCAACAAAAACCGAGGGCTGAGTAAAAAGGCTAAGGGGAGAGCAATTTTGGTAAAACCGGAGTCCTGGTTGTGATAGCATTCTCCCAGATTCTCCTAGAAACCGTCCCTAGAAGTTCAGGTGTTAGGCTACTTTTCTATCACATTGTAGTTACCTTACAACTCGCCCCAATGACAACCTTGAAAACTATAAAGAGGACGTAAAAGCGCCATTTTTTAAAATGAGTGAGATACCGATAAATGAGAATACCACCGATGAAGTGTTGAACAAAAAACAGCAATGCTGACAGTTTGAAGGGAAATCCGCACTTTGATGAAATGTTAACATCCATTGTGTAAGTGGAATGGGATACCTGAGCTGAGACCTGAGAAGACGCACAAAAAAATGACAGGAACTGCGTCGACTTCCGACAACTGCCCAAAATGAAGTTCTATAAAAATCAGTAGTAGAACGAGGCCAGATATGAACACCTTGAAAAGGTCCGCAGTAAACATGGCTTATGGTATTTGTAAGAATTCACTAAATATCTGTGGCGTCAGAAGATGAATGAGTTTGCGCAGGCAAAAAAGCACTAAAGCTCTTTAAACGCCCAAAAATCTTTCGTTATTTCCAGCTCCAAATTTTTATTAAAAAGATATCCTTGAGTAGCCTCGGCACTTAACTGGAGCAGATGTAGAAGGTCAAAACGCACGAGTCGTAAAAACTGTACTTTATCGCAGTTAACTCAGGCATAGGAGATGATCAGCTACTTATTTCAAATTCGGTAGCCTAACAGGACACATCCACGCACGTGCGCATGCAGGGCGATCATGTGGACAAAAATAGACTCGAAGGAACGTGCGGCGCTGGTCATTGGTTTGCATGTTTATGTCCCGTACACTGCCCACCTACCCAAAGGTCCGTCCGCTTGGTTGTAGCCACGCGCACACGCCGCATGCACGCACAAGAGGAGGGAGAAGGAAGATAGGAAAGGGAGCACCAGTTGTGGATAACAAAAGACACCGCAAACGAAGCCAGCCAGTGTGCGTTATGACTTGAGTGACAATAAAGGGCTGTTTTGACCGACTCTTGTGGGTTTCTGTAAGGTGAGTGACTCAGTGATACTTTTATTGAAGAGTTAGTTACAAAATAGCTGCTGGAAGCATCGCTCACGTCACTTACACTACCAGTGGTTCAGCTCTTCTAAGTATTGGTAAAAAAGTGCCTCCGGAGATAACTCGGGTAAAATCAGAGAAGTCACATCAAACAACAATACTGACCGCGCTGGTTGGATGGCTGAATACCCAGGAGTAAACAACAGAAGGGCTGATAAAATCGAGTCAACTTCTAATCAGCACAGCATTTACGTTAATAGGGCATCGAAGACCTCAGCAAAGACCCGATTACTGTACTGGTATGGAAACAGTGAACTGAATATTAATAGAAGACCTCACACCTCCCTATGTTCCAGGAAGCCGAAGATGAACTAGGAGTGTGAATCTGTGGCTTTGAAAAAAAAACAGTGGGAAGGATT